CAGGATGAGTTTTAAGTGAGAGCATTAAAATGGTTCAGAGGCTGCATCTTTTGCATTTTCCAAAAAAGGCACAAACTCCTGCTTTCCTTAGGGACAATGTTAAGGTGATGGCAGAAGTGGTGAGTGAAGCACAGCCTGTGGCCAGGAGCAGCACCTGACCCTGCCTTCCCCCATGGGGTGAGGAGCCAGAGGAAATTCAGGTGGGCATCTGGAGACAGATAGGTTGTTGCACTAGTTGGCCCCATTCCTCCTGCATGTATAACACAAAAATTTGCCAAGGTGCCCCTTGGCAAAATGATCTCGGCACTAGCTGGCCCCATTCCTCCTGCATGTATAACACAAAAATGAAGGTGCCCCTTGGCAAAACGATCACATGGCAGGATGCAGCCAGTCCCAGCAGCTCTAAAAACTTTTTCAGGACTGTGAGGTACTGCCATAGCCCTCCTGGGATCATGGCTGGGGGCTGAAAGATGTGTCCTTGCCTCAGTGAAAGTCCCATTTATCTGATGGTTTACGAAACTTGGCTCATGCCCCTTCTTCTCATCTGGATAAGGTTGTGATGTTGTGCCAGCCTCACCTGCCACAGTATTAAGAGTGGTGTGGGCTGCTGGTGGAAGAGGCACATTGGACAGCAGCTGCAGGTCAGACCCAGGTATCAGCAACCCAAATCTTATGCAAGAGGATGGAAAAGGCTGTGGAACTGCAGGCCACCCAGCAGCTCCATCACCTAGGAGAGGTAATTTACTTTTTTCTCACATCCTCTGTGAATGCTAACTTCTCCAACCAAGCAATCACCTGTCTTCAGGGGAAAGCACATGGAATGTTGGGTGACTGCAGTGGCACCTCTTGGGCAGCATGCAGAGAGGGCTGTGAAGCATGAGCCCTGTCTGCCTGACCCAGCTGGACAGGACAGTGATGCTCCAGCCCTGAGTGGGCTCCGTGTGGTGCCAGCACTCTGCCAGACTCCTCGGTCTGAAGAATCCTCAGGTTCCCACAGGGAGCTTTTTCCCAGACCCTCCAGCTTTCATGGATGCCGGAAGCTCCAGCATATGCTGCTGCTGCTGCAGAGAGCAGGTTATCTGAGAGTCTGCTGTACCCTGATGGGCCGGTCACAGCTCTGACCAAGACACACGAGCCTTGGGGCTACTTGGCTGTCATTAAAATGCTGTGGATGGAAGGAAAAGTCTAATTGACTAAACAACAGCCTGCACTGTGTAATTAAACTAATTGTGGCTCTACCTGCATGGGTCAGAAGTAATTTGTGTGGCTGTTAAATCACTGACAAATAAGAGGTGAGGAGGTGTGTGAAAGTATTTCTTACATATGTTTCCATAGGTCATTTTGCTGGTTCATTTTGGGCAGTTTTATGCCCTTGAAATTTTTGGTTGCTGTCAAATATGAGGAGATTGTTAATATTTGATGCTGAAGCAGGGAAAAGTAAAAAGGTCACTGTTGTTAGCAACAGTGTTTCAGGAGAGGCAGAGCTTCAAGTGGCAGCAATACTTTCTCAGTGATATTTTATTATTTGAAGCAAAACCCCTCAAAAAAAAAAAAAAAAGGACTGTTTGCCAGAATGCATTTCAGCCTGGCTCTGCATCAACTGGGGACAAGGCAATTGTTTTTATTGACTTGAGCAGCAGAAGACCAGGCCTTCTATACAACTTGGTGAAACACAGGTCACTTCTTTACTGCCAGGAATTTATGGCATTAGCTTTCACGAATTGCTTGGAAAGTTCTGGCTTCAGAATATGGTACATTTGGAAGAAGTTGAATGAGAAACCTGCTATAGTGTCATGTTGAAACTTTGACCTTATTTTCAAGTCCTTGCAAAGCAGAGCCACCTCCATCTTGTAGCTCTGCTCTTATTGATTATCATTTTGAGTCCTTCAGGCATTTTGTTGTGCCCAAAGCACCGTGTGCTTTTCAGAACAAATAATCTGACATGACAGAGAGCTGCTGAACTGACTCTGCTCTCTCTGTGCTGTCAGCACAGGACAAAGCTTTGTGCTTGTGCTGGAGGAGCCCTGTGTGGATAAGTGGAGGGGCTGACATTTTGTCCCAGTAGGACTTGTTCAGCATGTCAGCAACACAGCAGTCAAACACGTGGCCTGGGGTGACTGATGCCTGTGTTTTTGCTGGTCAGGGCTGTGTGTGTGGGGAAGGACATGGCACAGCTGGGCTGTGGGACATGCACAAGCCCTTCTGTCCTAATCATCCATCACTGCAGACAGACAGGAGAGTAAGTGGGATGGATCCTCGGTGGGATCCTCTTGCCTGTTTTTCTATTTCTTGACTGTGAAGAAACCTCTATAAATCTAGCTTACTCTTTTTGAGCTGGAGATTAAGAACCTCACTTTTCAGGTAAGAAGAAATTGCCAGTGTGGTCTGCTGCTCCTTTATCATCTTATGCCAAGTCTATGAAATATGAGGTGTGACCACCTAGCTGCAGTATCACCCGAGAACCGTGGCAACAGGAACAAGGAAAAAAGCGCAGGGAGATCAGGATATATAAATACTTTTTAAAGACAGTAGCTTACCTTCTGTTATTTGTCTACAGAAAAAAAAAAAAGAAAAAGAAGGTGAGTCTAAATGCCTTCTGAGTCCAATTTGTTATGTCTCCAGGCATAGCTTATTACCCTGACTTAGCCCAGCTCTGAATTCTTCCCAAGGGTTTTTGTGCTATTTCTTCTATTTTGATTTATAAATTGTCTTTATTTTACTTTCCTCCTACATGTTCTGTATAATCTTTTTCTCCCTGTGTTAGGGAGGAGCCAGGAGCTGGTGTGACAGTGCTATCACAAGGTATATCAAAGCCTTTCTCTGATTCAACCAAAGCCTTTCTCTGAGTGTCCTGCAATGGTCTCTTCTGGCGTCTGCCTCATGGGCTATGTGAAATGGTCTCTTCTCCCTAGAAACCATTTTCATGCTGCCACTTACTGCTGGGCTTACTGTAGTCATCCTGGGCTAGAGGAGTGAGGGTGAGGCTTGGTGTGGGCCCCATAGCTCAGGGGGCTTGCTTACAGACTGTCCAACAGCAAGGGGATTTCTGGCTTCTCCACTGACTTATCAGAAGGAATTACAGATATTTCCTGGTTCAGCCATTCCCTTCACAGTGGATTGACTTTTTCTAACCTCAGTGATGAATTCTGTGGGGGAATAAAATCCACCTGCTGTAATCATGGCATGCCTACTGCAGTTAGAAGGAGTCATACTGCCATTGAGCCTGGACTTAGAGACCACCTCTGACCAGTACACTTTAGAAACAGTTAATGAGTCCCCCAAACATCCCATGGGATGAATGGGTACTGTTGCTTTATGAGGCTAGACTGCCAAGTCTAGTAAGAAGCTCCAAGCAAGGTCAGCTTTAACTGCTAGAGCATGACACCTCTTTACAGCATTGATTTGTTTCCTGATATACCCATTTTGTTTTTCTTTTTGTTTGTTTGTTTTCCAGTGTTTGCATCTATGAATGTTTTTGTCAACAGACTTCTCTGGGAGATTGTAGCACTGATCACCCTCAGGACCCCTGGAGAGGATTAAATTTGTCTCTGTAAAATGGGCTGAGAAGTGGGTGAGAGCAAGCCCCATGCCAGTCCTGTCTTCTGTGCTGGCTGAGGGCACATCCTGGGTGGAGAGGCTAAACCAGGAAAAGCAGAGAGTGTTATTTCCTTGGAAGAGTCCCTCAACCTCCAACAACTTCCAGCTCAAGGTTTTGCAGAACTGCAGTAGTAGATTCTGGTGGATTTTCCTTCCATTATTTATCCCCTTAATTTCCTCTTCTAAAGTCATATAACCTCTTGGCATCCAGCATGTCCTGCAGTGGGGAGTCTTGCTCTATAGCTACACATTTTCTGGAATATCACCTCTTGCTCTTTTTGAACCTACCACCTGCTGGTCATGGTTTAATCCCTTGCAGTTCTTGTGTCAGAAATGGTGAATACTTGTATTCTATGACACTGATACATTTACAGGCCCCTGCCAGCTACCTCTTCCACAGAACAATGGATCCTGTTTCATTTATACTCTCTTCACATGGAACTTACTCCATGCTTTTAAGCAGCCTTTTGGCTCTCTTCCATGCCTTTTTCTGACTTTGCAATAGCTTGTGTGACAGGAAGAGAGAACTGCATTTATTTTTCAAGACACGAGTGCAATATTGGGTTAGACATAGGCGTAGTAACATAGCCTGCTCTCTCTCTTTCCAAATTGTTTTGCTGTGATGGTTATATACTTCTTAGGAACTAAAATCAATGCAGGTATTAACTAAATTTTTTAGTTGGACTCATGCAATTAATCATCAGGACTTTGGAGTCTTGACTTAATGGGATTTCAGGGGTTCACAGGCTGGCTCTAGTCACAGTGTGCACAAGCTGAATACACCTGGGCATTACAGTACCACATGCAACATGGTGTACAGGGAGGGGCTGAGCAGAGCAGCGATTGCCTTGCCAGATGCTGCAGGTGCACAGCTGTGAACATGGCTGTGTTGCTGCTGTGGTGAGGGATAAATGCATGGGATTTCCAAGTGGAGCACGTCCATATGGCAGAGGTGCTGCTGTAAATGTGTGCTTGGCTGGCTGGGCCACACAAACTCTCAGATGGCTTTGTGACTGCTGTGCTCAGTTTTGGACCCCAGACCTGGGAGCTCTGGCACCTTCATCGTGCCCTCCTCCACTGTCACTCAGACAGCACAGATATATTTCTGGGCTGTGTGGTGGGTCACCCACAACCTGTGGTTTCACTGCATGCCTACTGGTCCCAAAGCTCTTTCTGCAGAGCACTGGGATGAGAAGCAGATAAGATGAGAGTTGAGGGACTTGTTATGTAATGGTAAAAAACAAGTCTGACACACTACATTGACACAGGACACCTTCCTTCTCTCCTTTCTCACCAGGAGCTTTGCTCAGTGCTTCCCATCTTGTCTTCTCGTGGCCAGGGCAGGAACTGCCTTTCCTGCTCCTCCAGCCCGTCAGCAAGAGCGGACATACTTCTGAGTCACCATGGGCAAGATGGACAACACCTCCGTGGAGCTGAGCTCTCCCTCCGAGGTGAAGCAGGCAGCCCTGGAGGAGCCAGAGCCCATCAGCCCCGAGGTTGTGAGCACCAAGAAGAAGAAGAAGAAGGAGATCCCAGACAGAGGTTCCTGGAAGGGGAAATTTGACTTCTTGCTGTCCTGTGTGGGCTATGCTATCGGTCTGGGCAACGTCTGGCGCTTCCCTTATCTCTGTGGCAAAAATGGAGGAGGTGAGAGAAATGCACAATGAGCAGCCTTGTACCTGAGCAGGTTTTGGCTTGATGTGGGTCTGGGCAAATGGGTGGTCCTCCAGCTGAGAGCTCTCCCACATGGTGGGAGTTATTAAGTCGTCCAGAGACATGTTTCCATGATCTGTGAGCTTTACGAGCAAGTGCAGGCTGGGAAGAAGCAATCCAAAGAAATAAAACAAGCAGTTTGAGTTCTGTCATGCTTATGCAGTCCACATTTGCAGGGCTACAAAAAAAAAAAAAAACCAAAAAAAACACCCAAAAAAAAAAAAACCCAACAAACCACCAAAAAACCCCAAACCCACAAAAAACCAAAAAAATCCAAAACCAAAAATAACTCACCCCAAACCCCCCCCCCCCCCCAAAAAAAAAACAAAAACACAAAACAAAAAAAAAAAAAAACCAAAAAAAAAAAAACCCCAAACCCCAAAAAAAACAAAAAAAACCAAAAACAAAAAAAACCCCCCCCCAACCCCCCCCCCCCCCAAAAAAAAAACCAAAACCCACAACCATGCGGGACCTCATTTCCTTATTTACTTACAGGGAGGGCTATGCACAAATAGGCACCCAGTTGGATTCTGGGGCACCTCCAGAGAAACCAGTTTGCATCTGTTAAAGGTTGGATTCTCTACAGTCTAGGGTGTTCTCGAGGGAATTCTCCCTGCTCAGCTACAGAATTTCTGCACATCTTGGATCAACTCAGAAAACACACTTCTGTGCCTCAGCTCCCCTCTCAAATGGTGCTCTTTCTTCTGCCTTGTCAGGGAGATGCTTTTGTGGAGGGGAGTACAGGCAGGTGTCAGTAGAGCAGAGGCTCTTTCTTCTCACTCCATGCTGAGCTCTCCCATTGCTTGTGCCTGTTACTAAAACAGCCTTCCTTCTCCCCTTTGAAGAGCTGCTCACTTCCTTGAACCATTTTACAGACTTCCCACACAAGTCCAAACCCCTTTTCCTCACCTTTAAGGCTGTATATATAATTTTATTTTTTGCCTGCTAGTCTTCCCACATTGCTCTTTGCTTCCCTTTTAGCTCTTCCTGGCCTGGAGTCCCCATCCCAAGTGCCACACTCATTCATGCTGCTCTGAGGGTCTCTTCTCATGTTTCTTCTCCATGTCTTTTTTATTTTCCTTTTGCCTTTGGCTCTCATAACTTCTCGTATCACCAGCCCATTTCTGCTGTTGCAGGCAGTCTAGGAACTGGAAACCAACACTGGAAAACAGGAGAAGGGTCTTGTTCCCTGAAGCAATGTCCATTTAACTTCATGGCATTTAAGGGTATCTAGGCCCTTTCTCTGAAGTATGTGGAGTGAGTCCTAGCAGGAGACCAGAAAGTTAGCAATTTCAACAAGAAGATTTCTAACTGACCATAATGTTTTCTTGGAATTGTAGAATGATAGGATGGTCAGAGTTGGAAAGGACCTTAAAGATCAGCCAGTTCCAAACCCACTGCCAAGGGCAGGGACACCTTCCTAAGTTGCTCAAAGCCACATCCATGAACAACTTTCAAGGATGGGGCATCCACAGCTTCTTTGGGTTTGTGGAGAGGTGGAAATGTGCAGCTGAGCTGAGTGAGGTTTATGGGAACATCCAGGCCTGCCCTGGGGAGCCTGTGCCACCAATGCCAGAGCCACGGTGCAGGTTTGTCATCTTTGTCTGGCCACGTTCTGGCTGCTAGCTCTCCTCAAAGAACATTTCCCCCGTGGCTAGGTCGCAGCCCTGGTTGTTAGCCAGCATCTGCCCTGTGGTTGCTGCGTCATCTCAAGTCTCACACCAGCTCTGTGCTGCCCGTGTCTGTCTCCTCACACGTAAAGGTGGAGATGACAATGCCTATAATGAGATGAGAGATCTAGTGAAGCTAAAATCGATCCTACATATAAAGTCAGCTGAGAACCGAGGACAGAGGGTGCTGCAGAGGTGTGCAGCGCTATTATTAGCATTAGCAATGGCACACGGGCACGCAGAGGGAGCAGCCGGCTGCGAGCAGAAACGCCAGGCAGATGAAATGCGGGAATTGCTTCCTGCCTTCCCCCAACTCCCTGCCTCCCCTGCCGTCCGTGGCAGCCCGGATGGCTCCTTCCTCCAGCCCTGCCGGCGGTGGCTGCTGGCAGGCGCTGCCGGCACCAGGAGCAGCGGAGCCGCCGCGGGCCGTGCGGCGGGGCTGACGCACGGCGGCGTCACCGGGCCCCGGGGCGGGGCGGCGAGGCGGGCGCGCACGGCGGCTCCTTCGCAACCGGCTGGGCACCGCCTCGACGGAGCGCAGCAGACTGTGGGTGGAACTCTAATTTTAGCGTCCTGCATGTGCGCTGCTCAGAGCGCGGTCGTGTGGGCTGCTTCCATTACGCACAGGCAAATTGAACTGAATGGAAATATTGTCGTCTCACTTACCGCTGTCGCATTGCATCGGCTCACGGCTGGTTTGCTCGGCGCAGGGAGCCCGGGGCACGGCAGCCCAGAGCTCGGCCCATCCGCTGCGGGGAGCAGGCTTCTCCCAAAGTGATGCCTGGGCTCCCTGCTGGCCCTGCACGCAGCTGGATGTGCCCAGCTGTGCCTATGGCTCCAGCCTCTTCACCGATCTCTAACCTTATACAGTTCCTGTGATCTCAACAGAATCGTGCCAGACTCCAAATTCACTCTAAATGCAGCTCAGTACATGCTAAGAATTGCCTGTGAGAGCCTAAGCTTGAATAACTTGAGAGAAAAACAATCCTTTAAATAAGCATCCTGCACTCCTGATTTGCACACTGAGACTCAAAACAGCAGAGTGTAACAGCTTGTAATGCTCAGTTTTTGATTCGTGGGCAGTGTTCCCTGTTTGAAGGATTAATTGTTGTTCTCTTCTGTACAGCATTAGGAGCAGGCAGATTTGGGGCTGCACAGTGAGTGCCAGGCACTATTGATCCTTCCTTGCCTCCAAGGGTCAGTGCTCTGAGCAGGACCAGCGTCATCACCTCTTTGGCACCCATGGATCTGAGAAAAGCTGGGACTTTCACAAGGTCACGCACAACCGTATTTTGTACCGGCCTGCAAAGTTTAGATACAAATTTCAGAACTGATTTCCCATGACCTGGGGATATTATCCATGCCTGCTTGGGGACCTGGCCCTCCAGAGTGGCAGTGTCATTGCCAACAGCCCTCAGCTCAAGGAAGTGGTCTGGTTTGTAGATTTTCCACTATTCTTGAGAATCAAGCCAGGATAAAAGACTTGTGTCCTAAAGTTTATTTGTTTGGTTTTTGTTTTTTTCCCAACAGTCTAATAAGATCTTTCACCTACAAACCTTCCTGACCTGCTGTAGATGAGAAGTGCAGGATCATCAGAGCCACAGCCAAATTTCATTAATTGCTTGCACAGAAGCAAGGAAGAGACTTGCACTGCTGCTAAGCTCAGCCTCCAAACTGCACAGCAGCAGGGTGGCAGCAGCCTCAGAGCAGACACTGGCTTCCCACAGAGCTCTCAGGGGCCTGGACCTTGCAGGCTGTCGTGTCTAGTGAGCACACAGGGGAGGCTGCTGAGCAGGCACTGCGATGCCCAAAGCTGTTCTCTCCTGTGCACCAGGCTGCTGGTGAAGCCAAGAGCCTGTCCTTCCATGCCAGCTTGTGATTCCGGTTCATGGTCACTGAGCTGCTGGCACAGAGAGTGTTTTCTCCCCACCACCCACTGCCAGCTCCTCTTGCATGCTGCCTCCCATGGACTCCCATGCCGAGTGCTGGCACCTGCCTCTCCCAGCTGGGTTCAGCTCCCTGCTTGGCAGGCAGATGTCCCCAGCTGGATGTCCCCTGAGCCAGCAACCCTGGCTGTGCCTGGCTGCTTCCCTGCCCTCAGAGAGCAGCAACTGGAGCCTGGCTCTGCTGGGTGCAAGCTGGGCCACAGCTCTCCAGAGAGGCTTTTCTCACTGGCTCCATGTTTGCTTTCCTACAATTATCTGGAGAAGAAGACTCAGACTGACAGCTCAGCCCTAAGGCTGGTGCAGGAATCAGTGCTGTGCTGAGCTCAGCCAGCCACTTCTGGGCAAACTGAGTGTTCTCCCTCTGTCCCCAGCGAGCATCTTCTGCAAAAGTTTGTCCTCCTCAGAAATGATGGCCCATTCCAGTACCTGCATGAGAAAAATAAAAAAATGGGCTTTGTCTCACATCCTAGAAGTCAGGATGACCTGAACTTGTACGGCCTTCCAATCACATGGCAAGGTTCTCCTATTCTAATTGCTCTTCTAAAAACTGTGTGCCAGTAATATCTCTAGTGAATGAGTGTTCTACCTCCTTTCTAGTGATGAGATGATTTCCATAGGGCCATGGAGAAGAATAATATTTTCACTAGGAATTTTAAGGGTAAAACCTAAAACACAGGTGGGATGGTATATAGCACTGTTACAAGAGCCAATACAGTCTTGGTCACAGTTTTCTTAAAAGACTGAAACAGCTATAAACAAAGAAAGCAGTGACCAATGCCAGATATTCCTGTGCACTATTCCCTCAAAAAGAATTGAAAGCTTCTGCAGGTAAGACAGAAAGCATCAACAAGTTACCAATGTCAGTGTCCAAGCTGTTGGGGTTGTTGTCAGATTGGGTTTAGCACTCTCTAAGCAGCTAACAAAGTGAGCCTGGCATTGCACAGCTAGTGATGCCAGTGGATATGTATACATGGTACATACATACCCACAGTGATAAGGGGAAGGCAGCTGTGACCTCAGTGGGAGACTCACTGAACACATCAACTCCAGCTGCAAACTTTCACCTCTGGGAGAGGCTGCTCCTCATCACATGGGTGCTGCAAAGCAAGAAACTGCAGCTGGAGGCATTTCCTTCTTGATCAAAGGGAGAACTGCCTGATAACATTGCTCTTTCTTTCAGGGGCCTTCCTCATCCCCTATTTCCTGACACTGGTGTTTGCTGGGATTCCTCTCTTCCTGCTGGAAACTGCTCTGGGCCAGTATACCTCTATTGGTGGACTGGGAGTCTGGAGATTAGCACCCATGTTCAAAGGTACTGTGCTGTATGTTTGTGACAGGAATGGCACATAACTAGAGGCAAAACCCCATTAATGGTTTGAAGACAAATCAGCAAATCTCTGGGGGCTGGGATGGGGTGGGGGAGATTTCCCCTCTGTCTTTATCAAGCTGTCCTTGACCTCAATATCTGCAGTCACTAACATCATCACTGTGCTCTATTCAAGCAGTTTTGTGTGATGACAAGGGACTTTATGGGACAAAGGACTGTGACAGAGTGGCTCTGGTTGCAGAAGACCTTTTGTTTTCCCAAGCCTCTCTAATGCTTACTTTAATTGCATGGGAATGCAACCTGTTGCCATGATTGAGCTAACTGTTTTCTAGAAGCCAATGGTGATTAAGAAATGCCTTGGATGTGGGAAAGTACACTTCTGCCAGAGAAGTGACAAGATCCTGTTTTCATGGAGCTCTGTCCATGGAGTACCAGTAGCACACTGAAAGCATTGTTCCCCCAGTGGAAATGGGTGGCTGAGAGACATAAGAGAATGAGCCTCCCTTGCTGACCAGCTCACTGTGCAACTATAGCACACTCTGCGTTGATGAGCTGGTTCCCTTTTTTTGTCTTTCAACAAAACCCCTTGCTGTGGTGCCCATGAACTCCCTTGGGTACTGGAGACCTGGACTGATGCTGCTCTCTGCCTTCATCTGCAGGTGTGGGACTGGCAGCCATGGTTCTGTCCTTCTGGCTGAACATCTACTACATTGTCATCATTGCCTGGGCCCTCTACTACCTCTTCAACTCTTTCACTGCGGTGAGTCACGGGCGTGTCTGCAGCATGGCATTGCCTGTGCTCTGGCTCCTCACTCCCACTTATGGGCAGTGGTTTGTTTGTGACCCACAGCAGTCACCAGCTGCTTGCCATTTGTGCAAAGAGCCCTTGTCAGCATCGTGCTACGCCCTTCCTGAAGAGGTTCATCAGCCCTGGAGGCAGTTTTGTGATGCTGATGGGTAGTGATGCTTGTCCTCTGGGGGGATGATCCTATCCCCTCTACAGGGGCTGTTCCCCACTCACTTCAGTCTTTAAAACTCAGCCCGTCTTTCTGTTTTATTTCTAGGGCTGCTCATGAGCTGCACATTTCCAGAACTGGTTTTGTCAGGTTTTGTTACATCATGGTCTTATTTCTCAGGACTTACTCCTTATCTTAATTAGTTCTTATTCACTTCTCTCTTGATAAATGATCTCCAAGGGATTTTTTTTTTTTCTGCTGGGAAAATGATTCAGAAAGTATCTAAATATCTGCTTGTTACTGTCCCTTAGTGTGTGCTTTGATGTTATGGTTTATAGTGGGTTCCTCTTCCATAGCACGGCCTTCTACCATACAAGGTTAGAATCACACCCCATATTAACTTCTTGATAGCTGAATTATTTATTTCAGCCCAGAAACTGCTAAGAGTTTCCTTAATGTAAGTCTCTGAGCAACCTGAAGCCTTAAAGGCATCAACCCCATGGTTCAAATGGGATCTTTTAAAATGTCATTTAGATATAACCCTGAAATGCTATTGTGGACACTGTGCATCCAGTTTTCCTTTTTGTTCCAGCAAAACTTTCAAGTATGTATCAAGACTTTTGCTGAATCATTTCATTTGGCATTCTCAACTGTGCTTCTACCACCAACACCATCTATCACTGTAGGGTCCTGGATCTAGAATAGAATTATTGGCTGTGGGTGATTAGATGCACCCTCAGGGCTTCCCAAATGAACAGGAGTCTTCCCCAAAGTAACCCATCCCAATTCCACCCTAGGCAGGATTTTTCTTAGGATAAGGCTTTGGTACATTCAGGTGCTACAGACCCAGGTGGTGAAAGTACTTGTACTTAGGTAAAAGTATGTGCTTAGGCAGATCCAGGTGTTTGGCTCAAGACCTTTTCTTTTACCAGAGGTAATAATTCCAAATTCCCAAAAGGACCCGAGGTGCAAATGAAAAAGCTAGGCTGATGTCTGTCCCCTCTGCATCATAAATTTGACTAAGAGTGCTTTGAACTATAATAGGAGCCCAGCCTGCCTTCTGCAGTTTCTGTCCTCTGAAATTCAGAGGAAATGGAGCAGCAAAAAACTGTCCCCCAGCCTGCCCCTCCTTGTGGGAGCTGTGCAGCTTCTCTAACATGCAGACATTGAAGAGCTGCTGTGCAGCACTACTCATGCCACTGCATTTTCTTCAGTGCAGTTAGCAAGTCCTCAGTGAAATCACCAGGGGGGTGCAGTGGTCTGGGTGGCCACTGGAATGTCACCTCCACCTCTGCAATAGTCACCATTCTGCCAGGATACCACGTTTGAAGATATCATCTGCTGGAATGAACTGATTTAGATGGAGCAGTGAAGGCAGAAATTAAAGGCACTGATGGCACAAGGCACTTAAAACACAGATAATATTTTTGAGGAGGTCTACATTCATGGAAGAATAGGGATGGATACAAAAAACCTTCTTAAAGCTTTGTTGAGTAGAGCCTCAGGTCTTATCTGCAGAGGGAAATCACCCAGAATAGCTGCTCTGCATTTATCTACATGCACTGTGCTTGGGGAAAGAGGTAGCTGCTCATGGAGACACATCCAAGCTGCTTTCCTTGGGCTGGCTCAGCCGTGGCACTACATGGCCTGGGTGAGTTGCCCTGCACGCTCACACGGCCCAGGTAGTGCTGCTTCACTGCCTGCAGTGCCAGAGCTGGTCACACTAAATCTGTAGTGTTGTGCTGCTGTCACACTGCTACCCACAGAGCAAACATCTCCCAGGAATCCCTTTGTGCTGCTTATAATCAGGGCAGTGGACAGCATCAAACAGCTACTGTCCTGGATAATTTACTCCTGTGCTTGTGTTATAAAAGTCTGTTTGTGTAGACAACCCATTGCCTCCATTCTCAGGGCCATGTTGATTTTTAAGCATTGAAGTTGGTGTAAATGAAACATAAGAAACAAATCCCTGCATATTCTTTCTGCAGTAAATTCCAGCCACTTGTTGAATGAAGCTAGTAAAAAGCTGTAATGGTTATAAACACAGTATCCCTTGATAGTATTTTAATTTTTAGGTATTAATTATCCACAGTTAATTGGAAGTGGCTTTGTATGTGGGGAATTGCTAACATTTTATTGGAGCTACAGTATTGCCCTAATCACATCATGATATTTTTTCCCCAAAAATCCTTGTCACAATTTATCATATTTCTGAAAATTGTTCCATTATTTTGGCTACAAGGGCATGCCCATCCAGTGCAGCTTCCCATTACCTTTGCAAAAAGAAAAAAATTAAGAGACTTCAGTTTAAAAGAATCCATATTTCACTTGGGAGATATCCCATGAATGATAACCCTGCTGTCCTTGTGCTGGTGCAGGACCTGCCGTGGCAGAGCTGTGGGAACCCCTGGAACACAGACCGCTGCTTCTCCAACTACTCCCTGAACGACACCACCAACCTCACCAGCGCCGTCACCGAGTTCTGGGAGTACGTCCCCAGCCTGCCTACACCAGGTTTCTCCCCCTCCCTGTGGTCACTGTGCCTGCCCACCAGGGCTGTGGCTGTTCCTGTTGGCTCTGTTCCTTGGGCAGCTTTGGCAGAAGGGCATTGCAGCCAGCCACTGGCCACGGTGGCCATGGGGTGCACTGTGCAGATGCAGATGGACCTGCAGGCAAACAGTCTCTCCACCTCTCTTCGCCTCCCTTTGTCCCATCACAATGATCCTCAGCTCTCTCTAGGGATTTGTGGCTTCTCACACTTGTCTGTACCTGGCCCTTCACCCTCCAGCCACCTCTGTGAGCTCTAAATTCCTCTGCCCTTGATTGTTAGACTTCCTCCTAACACAGTGTCTCCCACCCTTAGGAGGAACATGCACCAGATGTCCGGAGGCCTGGGGGAGCCTGGCGCCGTCCGCTGGCCCCTGGCTGGCACGCTGGCCCTGGCCTGGCTGCTGGTCTACTTCTCCATCTGGAAAGGTGTGGAGTGGACAGGCAAGGTACAGTGTGAGGGCTGGGTCTTTTGGTGCTGCCTCACATTGCCGTCAAAATGTCCTTCAGACTCAATTTTATTTAAGTGTCTATAACTAAGGTTACAGTGTTTAGAGGCAAAATCACAGTAGATAGTATTAAATTCCTGACATTTACCTTTCACGGCTGTAAAAATTGCTATGATGTTTATGGTAATTTTCATTCTAAGTGTAGAGAATAGCTCTTGCCTGTAAGGTCATGGGTCTGAGTGTGCATTCTTTTTGGGAGGAGGCATTTGCAGAAATTACTTGTATTTCCCACTTTGGGACAGCCCTTTGAGAGAGTAAAGCTTCTTCTGGCCTCCCACTTTTGACAATCACAGTCTCTTAAATTGCCTCTGGTGGGAAAAATCTCACCATCTCCTTTGACAATTTCCCTGGTGCCCTTTTGATATTGGTGGGAGACGTTCAGATGAGAAGCCCGTTGTTATTCCCTGTGCAGTGTTCCAGGCTAGCACAGCAGAAAGGTAATTGCTTTGTTTAGTGAAACAGCAGCACTGAGATGCTGGGATGTGTTATTTAGAGCACAGCATGGTGCAGCGGGACACTATTATGAAAGGAAAAATCTAGAGGAGAGATCAGAAAGAAGCACTTCAGGGACAGGTCACCTAAGCTGTTAACTTCTCCAGTGGCTCTCAAACAGGCTTTAGCTATGCAGCCACAGCAAAGCCCTGGTGATTACTGGTGTGGGCCCTGTGATGAGGGATGGCACATACCCGTAAGATACTGAAACAGTGCTGAAAAGAAAGCAGTGGAATCAAGACAACTTGTTTTGCTTGGTGCATTGGTCTAGAGAAACACCAGATTTAGCTGTGCAAAATAAGGATATGATGACTTAAGGGGATTACTTCTGTGGACTAAAATTATCCCTGTGCAATTCCCTTGTCTTTGGGCATTTCATCCAGACTTCAGCATGCTACTTTTGTGATTAGTGTGTCCTTGTGTTTCATTGGCAGGGAGAAACCTCAAACAGCCAGAAATGTTACTAGCATGGGAATGGGGGACAGAAAATGCAAGGGAATGCTGCTGAAAGTGGCTGTGCTTGGGAGCCTCTCCCCGTCACAAGAGAACATGCCAGACTCAATGACACTATGGACAGGGAGGGTTCTGGGCACTGGTGGGCTGATGGCTTTTCTCCCATGGGGTCTTTTTCAGGTGGTGTATTTCTCAGCCACCTACCCCTACTTCATGCTTTTCATCCTCTTGTTCCGGGGAGTCACGCTGCCAGGAGCCAAGGAGGGGATCCTCTTCTACCTCACACCTGACTTCAGGAAGCTCTCTGACTCTGAGGTTTGTAGCCTAGTGAGGAAAGCTCTTATCTCCCAGCTGTCTCTGCATTAGGCTTCCCCATGCACTTCCCATGAATATTGTAAGTACTTAAAATAACTCTAGAATAACCCTGTACAAGTATTCATGACCCATGTCTCATAGGCTGAGACAAAACTGAGGAAAAGGTCCTTCATGGATGGAAATCTGTGGCAGCAGCTCTGCTGTACTCATCAGTGTTATCCACAGGGTATGGGAAGTCAGAAGTTATCCTGACAAAGGGACCTGCCCTCTGGGCTGGGACTGTCTCATTTCATGACTTTCCAAGGGCTGGTGGTCTGGTCTTGTTCTGGTGGTCCCAGAGAAAGGATGATGTTGTGCTGGCCTAGGGGCCTCAGAAGGAGCAGAAGCACAGCAGCAGTTTTTGGAAGCGCTTAAGTGATGGGTGGTGGCCTGTAATGTGTTCTTGATCTCTGGCAGCAGAGAGGAGACCCAGGAGGAACAGGCATACTTGCAAAAATGAAGTTTTTCAGGATACACAGACTCAGCGTTTTTCAGCAGCAATACTCCCATTGTTCCAAAGTCACCAGTCATGTGTGAGCTGGACATTTGTCACTTTCCAGTGAGGGTCCCAATGATCCCTCTTTCAGGACACTCTCTGTAACTATACTACCAACTGCATTTGCTCTTATGCAGGAAACAGGGTTCTCAAGACCAGAAGAGTTGTGTAAATACTATGCAACTAAGAAACAAACAGTCTGTCTTCTTTTCTTAAACTTTTAAGATTTAACACCTTAAGGCACTGGGACCAGCTTTGCAAGCTGTCCTCTGCAGTTGTTTGCACAATCAGCTCCATGTTGGAAAATCAAAGACACACTAGTGGAAGAGAAATGGAGGGTGTGAGAGAAAGGTCTGGGTCTCTGAGTGGAGCAGCATCCCTTGAGGGCACATGTGAGAAAACAAACACACACACACACACAGACTCAGACAATGCAAGAGTCCCTTCTGAGCATTGTCTGCACGGGACACTGCTCAGAAATGCACGACCCTTCATCCATCTATATCCCTCCCATTGGAGGGCTGGGGATATATGTCTGATGCTGGGCCAGACTGCACTTTGATACACTTGACACATGGGAAGGATGCAGATTCCCTACCTTCCAGTACATAAAGGTAGGGAATCTCCTACAGTAAAGCCCTGGAGAGGGACTTTTTGCAAGGTCATATAGTGATAGGACAAGAAGAATGGCTTTAAACTGAAAGAGAATAGCTTTAGATTAGATATTAGTAAGAAGCTCTTGACTGGGCCCCACTGACAGGGCTCCCTCAGCTCCAGTGGGCTGTACATCCAAGCACACAGCTCCACAGTCTGCAGCCAGCCCCCCTGCTAGCCCTGCACTGCACTGCTGCAGGACATGCACCTGCAGCACAGAGCCCCTTCTGCTGCACTCCCCTTCTGGCTCCTTCTCTGCAGGTCTGGATGGATGCAGCCACTCAGATCTTCTTCTCCTACGGCCTGGGGCTGGGCTCCCTCATTGCTCTGGGCAGCTACAACACTTTCCACAACAACGTCTACAGGTCAGCTGGTTTTTTCCATCCTCCTGTGTGGCTGGGACTCCTCATGGGTGAGGCAGGGGCTTGTGATGAATCTGCCTGATCTCTGCTGTCCCCATGCTGGCAACATGCAGCCTAGGGGACACACTGTGATCTCTTTAGAGGGGCTCCCTGCCTACAGGACACTTAGTATGTCGCCTGTGCTACCTGTCCAAGGCACAGGACCAGATATCTGCAGGGCTTGGTCTTTTGTTTACCCCACCCTCTCCTCTTGGTAGGGACCTGCAGGTGGGGTTTTTTCTCTCTTTCTTTCTTCCAGAGACTCCATTATTGTCTGTTGTATAAACTCCACCACAAGCATATTTGCTGGATTTGTTATTTTCTCTATCATTGGCTTCATGTCACACATCACAAAGAAGTCGGTGTCAGAGCTGGCCTCCTCAGGTAAGCAGAAACCCAGGTTCAAATGCAACAGCAACCTGTGAGAACCATTTGTGTGGAGTGCTCTTGGTTCTTTCCTGACTAGGTGTGCTGAAGTTTTATTTTGGTGTGGTGAAATATTTAGGCCATTTGCTGCCTGAAACCTTCCTATGGAGAGTAGATACTACCTATGTTTTCAGTAGATGTGATCAAAATTTTGAGTCCCTTTTTCATGCAAAATCTTGAGACTGTGATCTCAGAATAATTTTTTAACCAAGATGGGACTGTGTCTTTCTGCATGAAGACATATTTTGAAATTTCTGTCTTTTCACAGAAAGCTTTTATCTCAAGAAACAGCATTTTGCGGTGGGGAAAAAAAAAAGGCACCAGGGAAGTTATAACCAGCTCTGAATATCAGTTTATTTTTCTAGCACAGTGCTCCAGCTCCATTTGGCTGCAATAATTTGATTACTTGATTACTTACTTGCAGGACTTGTTTTTCCAATCCTGCCTCCCCATCTTGCCCCCATGCCTCCCACCAAGCTGGTGTATCACAGGCACAAAGGCGTAGGTGTTCCTAGCTCCTATATAAAACCCCCTGAGTTCTTGGCTGTAATTTTTGTCTCTCTATTTAACCATGGCACTTTGCTCAGACTTCCCATCAAATGCTTTGTGAACACAGGCTCATTTTCATTACTGCAGGCCCTGGACTGGCTTTCCTCGCCTACCCGCAGGTTGTCACACAGTTGCCCTTGTCCCCACTCTGGTCAATCCTCTTCTTCTCCATGCTGATGATGCTGGGTCTGGACAGTCAGGTGAGACAACTCAGGGACAAAGTGGAGGATGATACAAAAATGTCTTCAGGTACAACTGTGGTGTCCCCTTCTGCACTTGGGACAGTGCTGAGCAGAGTGCTGAGCAGTACTCTCTCATGGTGTGAGGGCTGTGCTTTCCTGCAGCATTTTGGCATTGTTGTTGATGCCAACAACAATATGCAACCTTGAGCAGAGCTGCAGCTCCCTGGCCTGGTCCATAGGTTAGCAGGGACAAATCCTGGCAGAAGGGAGTCATGTCTTGGAAAAGGCTGGCACCTGGGTATCCTGACTGCTTTGCCATCTTATATGATGGCAAAGTTTTACAAGATACTTGATGGGGAAGAAGTTAGATGTAGCAAAAGGCCTCTACCCTGCCCCTCAGTGCCCTCACAAAACAAATGAAAAAACATTATCTCTGCATTTCTACAAGTGGTGATAGGGTTTTTTCCTGATAATTCAGCATGAAAGTAGCTACCCAGTGAAGCAGTGAATTGCAGCTGCCTTCCTTTTGTGTGTATCAAAATCAAAGGTTCCTGCAAAAACCTGCACTTGGCCTGTCATATCCACCCTTGTACCCCCATGCTCTTCTCTTGCAGCACAAACCACCAGTACAAAATGGATGCTCTCTTGGATTACAGGTAGTGTTTATAAACCCAAGCCTACTTCATAATCAGACTCAAACCTATTCCTGAAATGTCACACCTGGTTTCCAGGAAAATCCAATCAACCAAACCTGGTTTTCAATCATGTCACACTCTCATATGCACTTTATAAAGCTCATGAATGCATTACCACAGACATTGTTTAGAAAAAAAAATAAATTCAAATAATACCTGAATGTTCTGGAAGAAACTACATTTACAGAAAAAAATTATCTGCATGGATTATTCACTCAGTGCTGGTAAATTGAGACATGACAATAAGCCCTCTAAGCACTCTGTGGAATTTATTTGATGCATTTGCTTCTGAAATACCCCTTGAAATTCTCCACGTCCCTTCTGACAGCCAGTTTCAGAGGGCAGACAGTCTGTTGGGAGGCTATCATTGCCTGGAGGAAGAGGCTGGGGAGGGGAATGAGGAATGAAAAGGAAAACAAGCTTTTAAACAGCACAGCTAAATACATGCGAAGAAGCTTTCTGTCTGCATGCTGGAGCTCTGCTTCATTCAAAAACACCAGCAACAGCACGGCAGCTTATGCATATAAACCAGTGAACACAGGCTGCTACAATGGCTGCAATTCCACGTGCATTTTGAAGCATTCAGTTAAAAAAAAGAAAAAAGGTCTTTTCTATATGCTGGTTACATATCCTTTGTGGCATTTGCAGATGGGGTGCAAGCATGTTTCACGTGGGTCAGCAGCCCAGTTCGTGAGGCACAGCAGGGCCGTAGGGCATTTCCTGCCCCCAGGGCTGCTGGGCTGAGGCTGCCGCTTGTCACCGGCGGGGCGCGGCTCTGTAGGCACAGCGAGGATGCTCGGGAGCCTGGCAAGGGAAGGGAGACTGGGCTGAGATCTGTGCTTGTGATGCAGCCACGAGCTCCAGCCCTTTAGTGGCACTGAGAGTAGGTCCAGCGAGTGTCCTGCAGCTGCAGCACAGCTCCATCTGCTCTTCCTGCCAGTTCCTGGAGTGGGGTGAATGACCTGCACTGACAGACACCTCCCTCCCGTGCCCTCACTCGTGTGCCTTGGTGTTCCCTCTGCTCTGATCCATCCGGGCTTCAGCCCTCTCCCATCCACACCCTCTTTCATAATATGCTAGTGCTTCCTTTTAACCTACCAGTTTCCAGGTCAGGCATTTATTGCTCAGGGCAGCTGGCAAGCCTTGTGACTGCCAGCCTGTGTGTGTCCCATGTGAGGCTGCCAGGCACAGGTTGGTCATGAGGATTTCCAGCTGCCAGCAGTGAGAGCAGTCTCGTGGCTCTCTGCTGCACATCTGGCAGCTGTGCTCAAACTCCCCAGGGGTCCATACATCCCAATAGGGTGCTTTGTGTGGCTGAGGAGGGAATAGCAAGCCGGTGACATTGGGAGAGGGTGGAAGAAAGACTTTCCTTCAGACAGAGGTGCCACACCTGTATTGACTCCCAAGCCCAGATTACTGGACCCAGCAGCTTGTGTAATGAGGAAAAGGAGCAAAAGAGAGACGTTAATGGAAATAAAATGCTTGGGAAAGAAATAATCTCATAGGGTGAGGCACGAAGAAGAGAAGAATATGTGCTAAAAATTGTGGCTGGAGAGGGTTGGTGGGAAAAGCAGAATTTTTTGGAAAGCAGACTGCAGTAGCAAGAACAGGAGGCACCAGTGCTCAGCTCCTTGCCACTCTGAAAGCAGCATGCTTTCATTCAGGTGTCTGCATGTGCAAGCAGCCAATGTTTGGTCTGTAAGCTGGGAAAAGTGAGCCCCATGCCAAGCACCTGCAGTCCCTGGGGGCTGGAAAGGTAAGCCTCCTCCAGGCTGCATCTCCTATGAAGTCTGAGGCTGTCATGAGGCAATTTTCAGTAAATGGTGTGAAGGTCATTGCCTGTTCTGTGGCTAGAAAAAGCAATGTACGACCATTTGTTTCTCCACCTTATCCATTACCCAGGAGCTTAATTTTGATAGGATACGAAGAGAATTCAACTCACTCTGTAGCCCTGTTCCCCACCACCCATCTCCCTGTCTTTCCCTCTGTGCATTCCCTGATTTTGATCGTTCTTCCTGCACCAAAGTGCTGTCAGCTTTACTTCATCCAGTTATCTAAGGCATCATTTTCTTTGTTCCTTTTCTGCTGGACACCACCCTCTGCCCGTGAGCAGGGCTGTTCCCCTCCAAATGCTTTTACCTTTCTGGTCTCAGATCCCCTGGCCCTGCCATGGCTCCAGCAGTGCATGGCCATGCATCCATGTGGAAGGAATTGCTTTCAACAGTGTTTTTTTTAGTCATGCTATCTCTTCACACTGTGGTGCCAGCTCAGTCCTGACTCTTGCAGACAACAAGCCAGGTGGGATGGGGTGAAGCACTCACTGTCACTGACTATAAAGGCAGCTTAACCCATGCATGAACAGCAAAAGGTTCTTTAATGGCACTTGTGTTCAACATAAAAAGCTTAGCTCATTAAAAATTCAAGTGGAAGAAGTTGAGCTTTGATGCTCTGGGAATACTGGCTTTCCACGTGGATATAAAACCCTGGGCATGCACATCTCCCTTTGTCTTGCTCTGGCCCACGTGGAAGCCAGCCCCAGCAGTCAGCAGTGTCCAAGCTCTTCCACCATCCCTGCCCAGGCTGTGGTATTCACATACCCTCTGAACAGAGACAAGCTGTGAGAGAAGCAGAGAAGAAGGGAAAAAAAAAATCTCATCTCTGCTTACTACTCCTGTTGTTTTACACATGTAGAATGTGTTAGAAAATTATTTACCTAAAAAAAATTAGTAATTAAATTCTACTAAAAATTATTTTGTTTCCTTAGCCAGTCACTCAAAATGGTGTCCTGACTGTCACAAGACAGTCACGAGTTGTTAATTAGTAGTATGTATTTCTTCAGTATTCTTTGTAGTATAGATATAGTATAGTATAATATCTCTCTTTAATATAGTTGTAATGTAATATAGTATAGTTTTAATAAAATAAATATTCAACATTCCAAAACCATAAAATCAAATACCAATAATTTCCCTGCTTCAGGATCCCTAATTTTACTCTAATAGGCTCAGACACTCCATTTTTTTCCCACACATCTTCCCAACCCTCTGCTGCTCTTTTTGGTCTATATAACCTCCACCTTCACTCTAGGGGATTTTTTTCTTCCTAGGGACAGGGGAGTCCCTGCCATTGAAAAGTGATGAAACCACTTTCATTTTCATTGCATTGGCTCAACATTTTCATGTACATTTGCTCAGCATGACCGGTGATGAAACCACTTTCATTTTCATTGCATTGGCTTGTACATTTGCTCAGCATGACCAGGGAAGCCAGTTTGCTGCCCTCATAAAGTCCCAGGGTTGTTGCTAGAGGCAAGGTGTGCTCTCTCAGAGAAGGTATGTTACCTGTAGTTTCTGTGAGCGAGATATAAAAGTAAATCTCACAATTTATCAAGGGATAGGAGAGAAGAATGCACTTCACAAGGGCAGTCAAACTGCCCTTGTGCCAGAAGGCAGAAATAGTAGGAAAAGTGGAAGGCAACACTCATGGGGATTTCGTTATGTGTTATGGTACAGACAATATTATTATACTGTGGCTTGTGCAGCTCTGCACAAACCATCCAGGGACTTCCACCTCTAGAAAGATGATGTGCTGTGAAGATGGGCTTTTGGTGTGCTACATGCATTTAATGCTGTGTGCTTGAAAAAGTGAAATGCAGTCAAGGACTGGGTAATCAGAGATGTTATTTACATGCATGGGAGGCTGGGTAATACAGGTCCTTATTGAGCATTTTAGATCATTGAACAGCACAAGTGCTGCTGCCACAGGCTGAGAAGGGCAAGAAGGGGAGGGCAATAAAGGTCCTGCACATGTTCCAGCAGCAGCCAGATACACAACTGGCACAGGGCCTGGCAGCGTGGGGAGCAGGGCAGTGATAGGGAGGCCCTAGGGAGTTTGTGGGAAGAAAGAGGAGGCTTTTCATGACAAGCAAAAGGCAGAGATTTTTCTGAGCTATTTTTAAGTATTTAACTTTGGTGCTCCTATCTCCATCTATATTCAGTGGGGAGAGAGATGAATTTTCAGAACATAGTTTAGACCAACTTTGTGCAGAGATGGCTCTTTCTTTTCTAGAGTCTGCAGAGTCCTTAGGGTTCTCAACAGGTTAAGTTTTATATATATATATATATATATCCTCATTGTATGCCTTTTCCCATAGTTCTGCACTGTGGAAGGGTTCATTACAGCCCTGATGGATGAGTATCCTCAAGTCCTAAGAGCCAGGAAGAAGATCTTCATCGCAGTAGTCTGCTTCATCTCTTATCTCATTGGATTCTCCAACATCACCCAGGTACAGATTGTGCAGGCCACGCTTGTACCTCCATTCCTGACACCTTTCTGGACACTTGCCATATCACAGCACCACCAAAGCTTTGGGAGAAGTGACAGCATTTCTCCTATTCTGGGTAAAGTGGTTTTCTCATCAGTGCTACATCTCGAGTGACTTAGGATGCCTCCATCATTTTTACCATTATCCTAGTGTCAGTCTGGCCTGTTGTTCTGCTATTTGCCATAAGGACTCAAGCCACCAGAGCCCAAATTTAGGAAATGCTTACTTCAAAGAGTTAAGATAACACAAAGAAAACCTGTCTGTTGGAGGCTTGGACCTCTGGAGTGGAAGCCTAGATTCACATGAAGGGAGGTGAGGGCTGAGTGGTCTGCAGACCATTTGTGGAGCAGTGTGGGTTCATGAGGAGAAAAGGCCAAATTCCAGGGAGGGGCAGAGCAGACTAAATTGACTCCTAAAGCAGAGACATAGAAGAGATCCTAGTGCATTTTTTTTCTCCTCACCCTGGGCTATGCCTGAACAGGCTGGCTAATTGTCTGCAAGAGCACATCAGTTTTGCTGCTGGGAACCAGACTACAGTAGAAACAGTGGCTCTACTGTCCAAGGAAATAGACATTAAACCAACAGACACAGGCAGCAGCAATCCTAGCTGCTGGCTGATATTGTCAATCATAATCTATAACTGAACTCCTTGACCCTGTTTTTGTCTTTTCAGGGTGGCATTTATGTCTTCAAGCTGTTTGATTACTACTCAGCCAGTGGCATGTGTCTTCTTTTTCTTGTCTTCTTTGAGACCATCTCAATTTCTTGGTGTTATGGTAAGCACAAAACACCTTGTTCCTTTGTTTTCTCTGTGGGCATGGTGACTTACTGAAAAAGCCAAAGCCAGTGAAGACAATGACAATTCTGCAGCAAAAATAGCTTAGATTGATAACTTCAGAAAATCAGGAGTGGAAGACTGTCATCTCACTTCTCCAGGCCCTCAAAGACCTCAGCACAGACTGTCAGATGCCCAGGGTCCTTCCCTCTGGGCGCTCAAGAGGACACCAGGAATATGGAAGCTGTTAGCATGAATTTGTGTCCCACTACTCCATCCCCTCCAGCTAATGCTTCTTGTGCCACACTGTCACCCTCTTGCTGTGCCTGGCCTGTGCTCTGCCATGAGAAGAGATGAAGGCCATGGTGCAGAGGTGGGGATTTTTTTCAATACTCATTTCTTCTTGTAGGTGTGAACAGGTTTTACAGGAACATTGAAGAAATGATTGGCTACAAGCCTTGCATCTGGTGGAAGATCTGCTGGGCTTTCTTCACACCTCTTGTCTGCCTGGTAAGACATGGGGAATCCTATGTGCAGGAGAGGGTCTAGAAAGGCCTCTAGATGGGCTGTAGGGAAACATTCTGTTCTCAACCCAGTGCAGGTCTGGTGCAAGGGAGTCCCAGGCAGACTGGAGATGGGTAAAGTGATACAGGAGCCTCTTTCACTCTGCCTGCTGGAAATCACCCATAAAAAAGTTCTAGATGATTGTTTTATCTAAACGAGGTCTGGTGCAAGGGAGTCCCAGGCAGACTGGAGATGGGTAAAGTGATACAGGAGCCTCTTTCACTCTGCTGCTGGAAATCACCCACAAAAAAGTTCTAGATAATTGTTTTATCTAAACAAGGCCATTGGTTCTTCTTCTATTTTTTTTTTTTTTCTGAGATGCCAGAAGATAGCCAAAATCATGTAATGTTTTAAAAAGCTATTATCAGTTCTGGCTTTCATCTACTCCAGCTTCAGCCTCTGACAGGCTTATGAGAAAAAAATCTATCACCAAATACAGGATAACTGACTGCAGAGCAGTTTGGCCTTTGCAGGTTCCTGCTCTCCCAGCAGAAGTAGTGCAGGGAGTGGTGTGATATGAAGACTCCTGAGACCAGCTGTGAGGATGCTGTCTGCTTGCACAGGAGCTGCTGTGGAGGCACTGCTTGTCTGAGTAGTCTAGTGAAGAAGGAAATATGGGGTATTCCAATTCCAGCTTTTTGGAAAGCTTAGGATATCTTATCCAGCTTAGGATAAGAAGAAATGGTATGAAATTACCAGTTGGTGGGCTGAAAGAATCTAGACTAATGAAAAGAGCTGTTGGGTTCCTGTAGGGCTGTTGGGACCTAAGAAGGTAATGAAGGAAGGAATGACAGGACCTCAATTTTGCGCATTCCTCTGCAATGGCTGGTGTTCTTTTCTAGGGTGTGTTCTTCTTTAGTGTGGTGGAGATGACCCCTCTGACACTGGGAAAATACGTCTATCCTGTGTGGGGACAAGGCATCGGTTGGCTCATGGCCCTGTCCTCCATGTTTCTGATTCCAGGGTACATGCTCTACTCTTTCTTCACCTCAACAGGGACTCTCCGGCAGGTAGGAACAGCTTCACCACCCTGCTCTCTGCTCAGGGTCAGCTCCTCCCTGAACTGAACCTGGACTGAGTAGAGCCTGCCCTGACAGAGTTATCGGAGTGCACCAGGCTGGTGCTGCAGGAGCTCTGTGCACCGTCTCCCCCAGGAGAGAGGGAGGGTTCACATCAGCCCCAGTGCACTGAACAGCCTCCAGTGACAGGGCTTCTCTGGAGAGGGCCTGCCAGCACAGCTGAGCAGGACACATTAACTCTGGGAGCTCTGCTGAGCTGTGGCTGGACATGCAGATAGACCTTCAGGTGCTCTACCCTTATGTCTGTGGCTCCTCATTGAGATTTGTGTGACCATCACAACAAAAATGGAGCCATCCTCCCCTGACTATCTCTTTGGCATGGGGGTACTGGAGCCATGGAAGAGTTTGGGAAGAAATCCTTGAGATCAGAGAAATCCCAGCTCCTGACAATTCCTGGCTGTAAGCATGTTTGCTTGGCACTCCTCAGCTGGGATAGCAGCACCTCCAAGCCTGAATCCTGAAATGTCTCAGGCTAGGCTCTGCTAGCAGCAGAAACAAGCACATGGTTTGTCATGTGCCTTACAGAGAACACTCAGTGACTGAGGCATTAGGAAGCAAGAAAGACCCACAATACCCACCACATTAGTCTTGTTTAAAACGTTTTCTTTAGTATTTGAGCAGGATTTTTTTAAGCAATGAATGATGAGTCTCTATGCCATACCCAGTACTTACTGTTAAGATTTTATGTACAGTGTTGACACTCAGTCTTGAGAGCACTGTGCCCCAAATCCCTGGCTTGGGGCATACAGTTGTAAGAAGCCACTCCAGGAGTGTTGATTTATGGCTTTCTCAGCCCCACTGGAACAGCAACCAGACACCATCTAAATCACATGAGTTTACTTTAGGGATGCTGTATTTTTAACAAACTTTGACTCAAAGAAGTTGTGGCTGGAATTACTGGGCTGAGGTCAGCTTCAGGTTCTCTACCTTTTAGGTGAAGTTGCAGGTGGATTTGAGTTTTCTTTCTCCCAGCATTCCATTTGGATGGGGGTGAGCTGGGTGGGTTTGGGATCTCAGATCTGCTTTCAATTTCTGGTCTTTCATCTGAAGCTGGGTTTAGGTACTTGTCCTTCCTGCAGGACTCAAGCCAGGGTGTTATGTCAAGCCATTTCATTGACTTTGGGTTGAAGGCCAACTGAATTCCAGCTGTAGGCCCTTTCTTAGGCATTTACAGGGCTCCTTACTCACTCATAATGTAAGTTGGAAAAGGGGGCAAGGGGAGCCTGAATGTACAGGTATGGGTTCAACCCTTTGCCTAGTCCCAGTCCTGTTTCACTGGAGATGGAGAAAGCACATCACAGCATCTGGGGGAGCCCAAACTGATCTGTGACCTCTCAGGAGTAGCTCATCTCCTCCTGACCAAAGGCTTGGGCTAATTATATCCATAGTCCTTCCAAAGTGCTGTGTATTCCTGTGCTGCCCCAGGGGCTTGGAGGGAAGCTCATGAGTGTGTTTCCACCTCTCCCCTCAGCATCTTGTGTAAACCATCAGCACGAGTAAGCAGCATGAGTGGCTGATGTGCACCCTCCCTGTCTGACTCTTTCTCTAACATTGCCCACAAACACCAGCAGACCCAGACCCCCTCTCAATCATTCATAGACCTAGGAGTGAGCAGCAGATGGCAGCAGGAAGAAAGTAGGCTAATCTGTGTGTGCATGTGTTGGTATCAGAGAGACAGAGAGAATTTTTGGCCTCTTATATACACAGATCCTGGATTAATTTGTAATAGAGCTGGAGCTGGAGAGAAATTAGATGCCAATCCTGAATAAAGTGGTTTTGACAGACAGGAAAGATTACAAGTAATTTTGATCCTACTGAGCCTGAATGTTAGAGGGGGAAAAATGCAATGAATGGCAGAAGCAGTTCAGTGAACATTTCTGGGAATTCACTCAGAAGCAGCCACTTCAGTGGTATTAGAAGGTAGGAGTTTGTTTCCCTTTACTGGAATGAGGTTCTACTTCTCTTAGTGATGTCTGTTCAGGTCAGGCTTAATCCTCCTCTGCATTCTCTTCTGCAGTGCACAGCATCAGTCCTTCCCTGACTGGCAAAAGTGATTCATTCTTTTTCATCACTCCTGATGCTCAATCCACATGCCTCCAGTAATGATTGGCCCCTCCATATTTTCGTGGGTTCTTGCTCCACTTTACTTGACTCTGCAATTTCCATTTGATCAGCTCAGAGTGACAGGAATTGCTGCTGTGCAAAGGTTTGTGCAGGTGGATGTTCTGACTGGCATCAAAGGCACAGACTCTAACCTTGTTAACCTGCTGTGGTTACTTAGTAATGCTCTGTAATCAACCCTAATTGAAAAATAGGTTTGCTCTGAAGCCTGTGGCATTGCAGCTCTCTTTTCTTCCTCCTTGCCACTGGTCTTGCCTGGTAACAGTTTGCCTCTTATCAGGATGCTCCCCATATTTCAGATAAAAGGAGGAGCTGCTGTGCTCTGTGCAGCATCAAAGCAAAGGTGACTCGCAGAGTCTTTTGGGGTACTACCAAATGCTGCTGGAGGAGTCACTGCATGCACCATCCCCTTGCCCTGTAATCAGGGTCACCTCTGAGCCAACCCTCAGCTGCTGCCATCCACGCCCTGGCTGTCCCACTGCTGCTGCTCCTGACCCTGGCTGACACACTCTCTCCTTTCATTTCTGGGCAGCGTTTGCAGCAGATGACACAGCCCAGGCCAGAGGTGCACCCTCAGAACAATGGCCTCCAGCCGAAGACGTCCTTGAACGGGAGGATCTCGGATGCCGCCGTGTAGGAGGAGAGCCCAAACTCCTCGCTCCGCCCTGTAGTCGCTCACTCCACATTGTCCCCCGAGCTCCTCTGGCACAGCTTGCTGTCCCTGGCTCTGCGGTGGCTTTCGTTTGTCCAAGAGAGGACCTGGTGGAGGAACCTGCTCGTGGCTCTTCCTCCTGGCATGGCTGGCCAAGGCCCTGAACAAGCTGCTGCCAGGGCATTGCGTGGTGACCACCTTCATCCTGCAACATCCTGGTCCAGGCCCTCAGGGAGGAGCAGCTGGCACCCACATCTTCCTCCTCCTGAGGAGAGGTGGTGTCTCTAGAGAGCTTAGACTGATTGTTATCCACTTCTCTGTTTTTCTTGCCTTTCCACCAAGCATCCCCCAGCACACAGCTGTGTTTCACCCCAGAGAGATTGCTATCACTAGGTTCAAATCCCAGACGGCTGTTGATTGATGGAGCATAAAACACCAGCAAATACATAACTGGAGGGGATGTGCAGAATAAAGGCTTCTAGAGCAGAACAAGGATTCTAGTGAAAAGTCCTGCCTGTTGGTAGCTGTAGGACATCATCCCACACCTGGAGAAGGGCTTGGGGACAGTGTGTGCTGCTCACAGTGCCATGTTTCTTCCCTGCACAGACTCCAGACATGTTTACTGCATCCATTGGGGCTTGCACTTTGAGCCAGAGCCCAGCAGAGCAGTCAGCCTTTCTTTTCTGGAGCATCCTGCCCTCTGTAGCTGCATGCAGCAGCCACTGCCTGACCCTAAAAAGTGTAAATGGAGGGCTCTTTGTTACAGGCTGTTCAAGTCTCCCACACTGACCACAACAAGCTTCATGCAGAGGCAAAGCTGTGTGATAAAGAGATTTTCCAGCACTGTGAAAATCTCCACCCAAGATAAAACGGGGCAGTTCCTGCCAAGCACCCTCCCTGGTGTGTCCCTGGATGGAAACAATCAGATGGAGTGTGATGCCCATGGGTGGTTCAGTTCATACCTTTTTCAGGAAGTGGCCATTCCTAAATCCCAGCTGGTGGAAGGCAAGAATTTCTGAGGCAGTTGGCAGGGTGTAACCACTGTCCTTAAACCCACCCTGTGAAACAGTGCTCACTTCCCTTGGGACCTGTCTGTTCAGCCAGATCAGCCACTGGCACATCCCAACTCCCAACACATAAACCACAAAGGGCTGTGAGCTCTTGTAGATGGTGCTGGAGGAGTGTAACACCTTGGAGAAGGCTGCAAAGTGTTTCAGAGCCATCCTAAAAGAGCAGCATATTTCTTGCTAGTGAAGCTTTGTGAAAGGAAGTGGCTTATCATAGCACCACGTGTAGGTGTGACAGTGATGCTCCCAGTTGTGCCAGCCTCCCAGTGACCCCACACAGAGATATCCTTGTACAGAGTGTTTGGTGAGCACACATATTGTGACCTAGTGCTGATTAGTCTCTCCCCTCCCCTGGCACAGCATGGCCAGGTCTGCTGATGCTCCCAGCTTTAGATCAGAATCAACAAACTCATAAATGAGCATTCAAGAAAAGCCCCACCCATCTTTCCTACCAAAGAGTCTGGTCTCAGAAGTGACACACTGCAGTCCCCCAGGTGTCCTACTGCAGGTGACATGTGAGGGATGAGCCTTTGCACAATTGTTTTGCTCTCCAACAGTAGCTTCAAAATGCTGCAGGCTGGCCCTGTGCTACTTGTCCCAGTGACTCACCAGAGCATGGGGCCGACCTACTCTTCTGCCAATCTTCCAGCCTGTGGATCAGTAACAGAAAGAAGAAAGAAGTTTTCTGGTGAAAGCTAAAGTCAGACTCCTTTGGGAGTGGATCCCCTGCCAACTCCTGTGTACATCTTGGTTAATGTTGCTTCAGATGTGAAACTAATCTGTATTTGTATGCATGATTCTCAGCAGTTATGGCTGCTGGGCTTCAAGTGCATGTTTTGTGGTCTCCAACACCCTGAGCTGAGATCACACCCTGTCCCACCTTGTAATTGTTACAGTGTTTGTGTCAAAAAAATTGCAGCTGTTAAATAGACATGAGGAAATGATGTATTTATAGGCTTAGTCTTGTAAAGCCAAAAGCCAAACACTGAAAGCTGCAATCATAGCTCATCACTATTAATCTCAGACATGACATCTTTCCTTGTCCTTTAATTGTCTGTGCTTCTGTAGCTGAACATTTCTATTCCCATTTCACCTATTTTTATGAACCGGGTCACTAAGGAAACCACTCTTTATAAACATGCATGTTCTTAGAGAGGGACATCTGTGCACAAAAAAATGTGTTTAAGCTCTAAACTTTGCAGTAATTACCCTTACTAGAGACCTGCTTTTGCCTGTGCATCTGGGCCCCATAACCTCCCTTCCCTCAAATGCAGACTGAGGGTTGCACAGGTGGGTGATGGGCAATGGACTCAATTTTTGAGTGAGGCCATAAAACCATGGAAGACTTTGTTTCTTCCAGCTTCATTGGGGCAGCTCAGGTCTGAGGAAGAACAAATCAGTGTAAGTGGTATTTTTTTTGTCTCTTGGCCAAAGAGCTTGATTGCTCACAGAGCTGTTCAAAGGTTGTTCCTCCAGGGGAGTAGAGAAGGAAGGGTCCAGAAGTCAAAATTCTTTCCCTGGTTGCTGAGGAAATCTCTAAACCCCCAATTCCTCTTTGCTGGGATTTTAGTCCCAGCATCTCTCTGACCTGTGGCCTTGCTACGTTGTTCCAGATGCAGCAGCAGGGTCTGCTCATAATAACAATATTTAATGGGATTTAACCATTTGCTCCATTTTCTGCTTATGACCTTCTCCTTTGCTCTCTCTTTCATGTCCTGCTCCTTTTTGTTCTCTTGCCTCAGTCCTTCCCTGCTATCATTTGTCCAGTGAAAATTATCTACCTCAGCTTTCTTAGTTTCGCTGCTGTAAAATTGCAATTCTCCCTCCTTTCTCTTCTCTTTTCGATTCTTTCCTCATTTCTATCTCTTTCTATTATCACCAGCCTCTCTTCCCTGTTTCTCTCATGTGCTCTTCTTCCAGCTTAGAACTCCTTCCTGCATGCCTGTGGCTTAGCCTCTCATTGTGTGCATGCTCAACACTTCTGCCTACTGAAAGCTGGAGCTCAGGATTCCGCAGAGGACCCCAGCTTTTCACAGGATCCAGTCCCTAAGAACCAATTTCCATCACAATATCAAAATTATAATGAAGTTCCAGCAATTTCTCTTCCTCTTTGTACCAGAAAATGCTGTGCCAAGGAATGCTATCTCCTGGTATTACTAGAAAGACATTTCTACCCACATTCCACCAGTGTGCACAGAGCTGTTCCTGTTCTGAAAGGTTTTGTGGCCTTTCCTGTTTCTGCACTATGTTATTTCCACCATGAATGTTTGGATCTCTGAAGTCTGGCATGCATAACCTTGCAGGCAGGAATTTACCCTTAGTCAACCTCTGTCTGATGGACTGATCCCCTTCTCCAGTGTTTCAAACTCATCCCATCCTTAGTGCTATAAGAGCCTTCCTACCTCCACACACAGATTTTCCATCTAGTGAGAAGTCAGGGGTGTTGATGGACCCCCTTAAGCTCATCCCACACCTCTGAAATGCCATTGTGGGTGGGTCTGTCAAAGCAGCCATATCTGTTCATTGACTGTAAGAACTGCTTTTGTCCTCTTCTCAGGATGCACCACATCTGCTGCCCATCCCTCTGCTTCTCATTCCTTCTGACTCACCCAGAAGAGAGAATACATAGCCAGGGTGTGGATTGCTCCCCTCTCCTCACTGCTGGAGTTCAGATGGGGATTGTGCTCCCCTGTGCTCACCTACAGCACTCCTGCCTTTTCTCTGTCCCCTCACCTCCCCAGCACCTGCCAGCCTCTCCCCCTACCATAGGCAGCTGCTTGAAGTAATCCTTTATGAAATCTCTTAATTCTAAGAAGCTATTTAGGGACCTGTGTTCAAATCCCTCTGAAATCCTCTTTTTCCTGAGACCTGCAAAATATAAAATAAATGCCACTGCCCCCATCCTCTACTGCAGCAGGGGGTGACATGGGCCATGGGAAAGGCAGGATTGTTCTGCTGCTCAAGGGCTGCTTCCCCTGGAGACCCAGGTGTGATCCTCTCCCCTGGGAGAGGGGAGCTCTTCCTGCTGCTGTTCTAGCAGATGTGCCCCAACAGCTGGCAGCTGGTTATAAAACACTTGTGCCATGTCCATGGCAGGATATGGTGCTGTGTGGCACTGGAAGGCTTTGGCTGGCCAGCCACTGTGCAGCTTGTAGTCTCTCCACAGTTCTATTAAATGGTGTGTTGAGAGGAGTTGTGTTGTGCATCAGCTTAAAGCTGCTGCCATTCTGGATGAGCAATTTGTCCTTATCCATTGCCTCTTCCAGGGGGCTTCTCTCAGGACTGGAGGGTCCTGCTTGCATTTGGTGGTGATGGCCAAAAGGGGAGGGGGTCTGCATCACTGATGGGATGTATCCACTGTGGTTTGGCTTGTACTGAGGGCTACCAGCTCTCACCAAGCACTGCCTGCCTGCCTCAGCAGCTGAGACCACGAGGCACAGTGCCCAGCTCTGGGTGGCCCTGGAGGCCACATGGTGTGCCCACAAAACACAGCAGGGGATGGGGTGCATCCCACATCCCCACTGCAGCCTGGCTGAGGCAGCACTGCCCCAGGCTGTGTGGGGTTCCTGACAAGTGTGTGTCCATCATCCCTGTGATGCCGTCAGCCGGGAAGTGTCCATGTCTGGAGATGCTCAAGAGAGGTTAGTGCTCCCCGTGCTGATACCTGACAGCCATGAGGCTGATGGAGATGCCTTCTGACAGCCTGGCATGATGCCACTGTGCTGCCAGGAAAGTGGCACCAGCATTCACTGCGGCCACAGGGACCAGCCACAGGCCCTCGTGGGGTGGCACGTGTCCCCAGCACAGCTCCTGGGGACAAGCAGCCCTCACCCCCACAGCTGCAGCCCTGTGCAGAGTGGTCATGGAGGAATTTATCCTGGCCAGTTGAGGTGTTTCTGCTTCCAGATGAAAAAAACA